CAGGCTCACGTCAATTGGTCTGTCAGGTTTCTTGGGAAGTTCATCTGAGGCAAGCATGGTCATTGCCCGACTGCAGCAGAGCCTGGATCCTGTTGCAATGAACCCCCAGCCAGTGCTTTCTCAACTGGTCATTAAAGGAAATAGTCATAGAGTCATAGAGATATTCAGCACAGAAACAGACCCTTGGGTTCAACTCCTGAATTAATCTAGTCCAATTTACCAGCAATTGGCCCATATCCCTCCAAACCCTTCCTATTCATATACCGATCCAAATGCCTTTTAAATGTTGTAATTGTACCAGCCTCCACTACTTCCTCTGGCAGTTCTTTCCATACACACACCACCCTCTGTGAGAAGAGGTTTCCCCTCAGGTCCTTTTTACATCTTTCCCCTTTCACCTTAACTCTATGCCCTCTAGTTTTGGACTTCCCTAACCTGGGAGAAAGACCTTGTTTATTCAACCTATCCATGCCCCTCATGATTTTATAAACCTCTATGAAGTCACCCCTCAGCTTCTGACACTCCAGGGAAAATAGCCCCAGCCTATTCAGCATCTCCCTATAGTTCAAACCCAGCAATCCTGACAACATCCTTGTAAATCTTTTCTGAACCCTTTCATGTTTCACAACATCTTTCTTATAGCAGGGAGACCGGAATTGAACACAGTATTCCAAATGTGGCCTAACCAATGAAATATTGGCCTGCACCATCATTTACCCTTGACACACTTCACCTGCCCCTGCAATGTTGTTAGACAGTTAACCCCCTCTTTGTCCATGATTACTGTGGTCAAGGGATAGCAACTGGAATGAGTAACCATTTTCAAAGTGTTAGAGAACCTTTGCCCTGATATGAGCAGATAGAATTCTATACACCCAACATGTTGATGGGAATTGCAAGGTTGAAATGAGTGTTATCAGACATTCCTCCACATCTGGCTGATCAGTACAATCTCTTTTGCTAAATTCCAAAAGAAACTTTTCACCAAGTCTTTCAAACACAATGAAACAAGGGTACATGACTCTACCCAATTTTATTTATTCCAAAAGGGATGGATTCCTGATAATGCAGCCATCTCTTTAGTGTTGCACTGATCAGTCCAATTTAACTCTTGGTCAGATTACAAATTCAAAAAATAAATACATTCACCTGAGGTAAGCTGATACAGTTTTCAATAACTAGTTGATATAGTCTGTCATTTCATAAATGTAGGAGAATTATTATCTCTTGACTTTATAATAAAATCCAGTTTTATTTATCAGCAAAGTTGTTTTGCACTTCCCTGATCGGTAGGCTATAGTTGATAAGGGTAGGCACTCGCCTATAAGTGCCCCTCCAACCAGAGGAGAAAACAATTAAATGGACAAAACTAATCAAAAGTGATCAGTCATATAAAAACAACACAGAATTATTATTATATCACTTGTACAAGTTCTAGACTTGTGACCTAGCACCTAGAAGATAAAGGGCAGGAGGTACATTGGAATAATACCTACAAGTTCCTTCCTGGTCATGTACCATCCTGACTTGAAACTATACAAACTCTGGAATTCCCACTGGATAGGACTTTGGGTATATGTACACTACATGGACTGCAGTGGTTCAAGAAGGCAGCTCACCACCATTTTCCAAGGGGCATCTGTGTTTTCTGTGTATCTAAATGGGTTTAATGATTAACTTGTAAGTTTTCTGTAGCCATGGTGATTTTTGAAAAAAAAAAGAACACCGACAAATATTTGGCTAGGGGAAAATACCCATAACTTGAAAAGAAAAGCTTTTTATTATTCAGAGATAGCAAGAACTGCCGATGCTGGAGTTTGAGATAACAAGGTGTAGAGCTGGATGAACACAGCAGGCCAAGCAGCATCAGAGGAGCAGGAAAGCTGATGTTTCGGGTCTGGACCCTTCTTCAGAAATGGGGGAGGGGAAGGGGATTCTGAAATACGTTGACCTGTCTGTCTTCCCTTGACTGACCAACCCCCATCCTAATTCCCCATCTACACTCACCTTTACTGGCTCCATCTCGCCTACTTGGCCTGTCCATCTCCTCTCCACCTATCTGCTCCTTTATCCATCTTCCATCCGCCTCCCCCTCTCTCTCTATTTATTTCAGAATCCCTTTCCCCTCCCCCATTTCTGAAGAAAGGTCCAGACCCGAAACATCAGCTTTCCTGCTCCTCTGGTGCTGCTTGTCCTGCTGTGTTCATCCAGCTCTACACCTTGGTATCTCTTTTTCTGGTTCAGTTTGGCAGACTGAATGAAGACAGATGTATAACGTAGTTACTCCTGGGGAAGGGAGTTAGTTAGAATTGTTAAGAAGCAGATTATCTCAGAGCAAAGAGTTTCGTACAGTTCCAGTCAGAAATATTTGATTAAAATCCTGAAGGGATTATTTGGAGCTTAGAAAGTTTAAGACTCTAGGAAAAGGCTATCAGATTCTCAAGACTAGAGCTGTAGCTAGAGTTAAAGTAAGTGCTATGGATGTTCTCGAAAAGGGAATTCTCTCTGGATTGAATACTGTAAAGAGGTGCTTTGGGATTTAATAGGATTATAATTTTACTGTGCTTTCCAAAACTTTGAAACTTGTGTTTTATGTAAATATTTTGATTCACTCCATTTTATCTTTATTTCTTTTATGTGTAAACTTCTGATCTGACTTGTAAAATAATAATGTCAGGTTGGAACATAAGCTTTGCCCTTTTCTTTAGGTTTTTTTTCTGGTATCTCTTGATTTTTCTCCACGACCTTTAATGGAGATTCAAAAATAAATTGATTACTCATTCTTATTTCTTGAGCAAACTTTGCTTTCTTAAATATATTTGACAATTGTTTTCCTTCTTTCCACTACCCTCCTCCCAAATAAAAGGTGACAATGGTTGCTTTACAAGCTCTGACCAAGTATCGGGCAGATATCTCTCAAGAGAATGAAATTGACTTGGATGTTATTGTAACCATCTCCGGCAGAACTGCTCCTGTTCCTTGGTATTTTAACACAGATAATAGATATGTCACAAAAACAGAACAGGTTAGTTATTACTTAAGTTTTAATGTTTATTTTAAAGTAATTATTTTTGTCGTACCCTAAATGGGTATTTGTGCTTTCCATTGTTTTGAGCATACACACTGGAATTTTGCATTTGCACGTGTTTCTCAGTATGATATTTTTGATTCCAACCTACAGAAGTGTATTAACTACCTTTGCATTGCATTGCGTCGAGTGGGCAGTGCAGCAATGGATCATTCATTCTTCCTGGTCTGCATCTGCATTTATGTTCCACAGAGTCTTCACCCATCCCACTTCATGAATATTCATTGCAAATAAGTCTTCAGTAGCTATAACGCTTAAATCCTGTTTTGCTCAATAATTCCAGTGTTGACTGGCTCAGGAGGTGACAATTTCATTGTGTTAAAAAAATTCTTGAGGAATTTCAGTGGCATGTAATTGAATTCCAAATTTAAGCTGTTCAGCAGCCTGATGAGTGTTAGGATTTTCACTGTGGGGGAGCAGAAATCTTCATGAAGCATCTCATATATTTCCTAGAGCGAGTATTGAACTCATCTCTCGAAGTCATTTGTCCAGGCCTCTGGATTCCTACAACAACACCTTCAAAAACCACATTCTGAAAATGCTGGATTTATGAACTAAAAGTGGAAACAGGCGAGAAATACTCAGTGGATCTGGCAGCACCTGTAGAATCAGAATCGGTTAATGTATCATCGGAGTATAGGAGCAGGGATAGGCTGTTCGGCCTGTCGAATCTGTTTCTGGTCTGTGACTTACTCTCTACTTGGGGTGATGTAAAGTTTGCATCTGTAAAGTTGTCAGAAGGCGGAGTCTCCTTGCTGATGGTTTCACAAGTGTTTCTTCCCATTCACAATTCCTATAATGTTGAAGCTGCCCACAATGACATCTACCCATACCCTATAACCACAAAGGCTGCAGACAACAAACCGAAGGTAATATTTCTGCCACAAATGCTGGGCAACGACCATCTCTAACAAGAAAAATCCCAGTACGCCCCTGTTGATGTTCCATGAACTAATTACCATTGAGTTCCCATCATTGATGTGTGATGAGGTTAAAAGTGGACCAAACCTTATAATTAGACCATACAGTTTATCATAATATGAAGCAACGAACTGCGGATGCTGACGACCTGAAACAGAAAATTGCTGGAGAAACTCAACAAAACTGGCAGCATCTGTGGTGAGAGAAAACAGAGTTAACATTTTGAGTCTGGTGACCATTCTTCAGAACAGGGCTGAGACTGGATTCCGTCTTACTGATTCCTCAAGATCTCTCCAGCATCTACAAGACTCAAATAGGATGCAGCACCTGAATATACCTCTATGTGTGGAACTGTGCATCCCTCAGGAAGCTGAGTATCTGAGACAATGCAGTCTGCTTGTCTGGCACTCAGACTTTAGACTCAACTCCTCAACCTTTATTGCACTGAGGATGCAGTGTATATGAAGTAAATGTTGTGTTGCAGCAATTCACCATATTTGCTTTGAACTGCAACACTCATCCCTGTAATCAATAACCAGTGTGATGATTAAGAAGAGCTAGGCCACAAGAATGCTAATACCACCCATGTTCCATCTTAAGTTGCACTTAATCCTGACATAACTGCTCCGTGGTTGAACCACCACCACTACAAAAATTACAGCAATGTAAAAGAAGGTTCCCCTTAATTCCCATGACAGTCCCTTCCTGAGAACAAAGATTGAAAGCCAACAGACAGCCTTTCCAATTTTTCTTGTCATTCCCAGTTTTGTAGAACATTAAAAAAAATGCAGACGAATCAGAGAAACAACCCTTTCCGTTGCAGTCTTTCACTGTGTCTTTGTTGAGTTAAATTGGCATCATATCCCGGTAAATGGCTAACCTGCATTATCCACATTTCAGATCAACAACTTTGGGAACTTCACAGTGAAAGCCAAAGGAAAAGGACAGGGAACATTGAAGGTAAGTGGAGGAGCGAGTCTTACGGAGATAATAATCTTTCAGGAGACAGCAGAGTTTGAGGCACTTGGCAATTTTATTCCACCAGTACAATACATGGAGAGGCCAAAGACTTCCCTTCAATCTGGCCTTGACGTGAGGATTCAATTACCCTCTTAATCTGCAGCTTAGATCAGAAGAAAAGTCAATGACACTCTAATTTCAACTTCAAGTAAAATGTCTTTTATACGTTTTTCTTGTAATGTTAACATGGCGGCACATACTCCCTCCACTGGTATACTATTGGTTAATTAGTGCTGAATTGTTCAACAATGATTGGGTACCCAGTACGTCATTCAATTAGCTATCTTGTTGCTATGATCTTTATGGGTCCGTTTTGGTATGTAGGAAACTTACTTTCCATGGTTGCTTGTGACTTGGACAGATAAGGAAGGCCCCTTATAATTAGTTTTAAAACTTTCTTTCTAATATTTTAGTGATTCATATATAATATGTATGTAAAGTATATATATCTTTCTATAACACCTTGGAACCTATATCTATGATTATCTTGAAGAATCTTAATTAAAACCTACTTGTTGTATTATAACTGATTGATTAGAAAGAAACTTAAAGAAATAACCAGTTGGTATGAAATGTTCTTGTCTTTAGGATAGTAAAGAGTGTTGCATATTCAATTTTACTGAGGAACAGACTGCCTTTGTCCTCATGTGCTGAGAACACATTAAACATGTGTTTCTCACACTTTATAATTTCTGTTAAACATGTATTGCGAAGCTTGTTGGGGCTGTCTTCAGCCATTTTTTCTGTATTGTCATAGGGCAGCCCTAATGGTAAATGTTGGTTCCAAACGCTGATTATTTGAGAGCACTGTCCTGGCAGCAGATTTTAGTTCATGTTGCACTAATCCCTTCCGTCTTGGAGTGCAGCATATTAAACACAAAGAACAAAGAAAATTACAGTACAGGAACAGGCCCTTCGGCCCTCCAAGCCTGCACCGACATGCTGCCCGTCACAACCAAAATCCCCTACCCTTCCGGGGACCGTATCCCTCTATTCCCATCCTATTCATGTATTTGTCAAGATGCCCTTTAAAAATCACTATCATATCTGCTTCCACTACCTCCCTTGGCAGCTAGGGGGAGGTAGTGGAAGCAAATGAGACAGAGAGTAATGGTAGAGGGTTGCTTTTCAGATTGGAGGCCTGTGACCAACAGTGATCCACAGGGATCGGTTCTGGGTCCTCTTTTGTTTGTTATTTACATAAATGATTTGGATGAGAATATAGAAGGCATGGTCTGTAAGTTTGTGGATGACACTAAAATTGGTGGCATTGTACACAGTGAAGAAGGTTTGCTAAGATTACAATGGGACCATGATCAAATGGGTCAATGGGCTGAAAAATGGCAGATGGAGTTCAATCTGGATAAATGCGAGGTATTGCATTTAGTGCAACAAACAAGGGTAGGGCTTATACAGTTAATGATAGGGCCTTGGGTAGTGTAGAACAGAGGGACCTAGGGGTTCAGGTACATAATTCTTTAAAATTTGCATCACACATATACAGAGTGGTTAAAAAGGTATTTGACACGCTTGCCTTCATTGCTCAGTCCTTTGAGTACAGGAGTTGTGATGTTATGTTGAGGTCGTACAGGACATTGGTGAGGCCTCTTCTGGAATACTGTGTCCAGTTCTGGTCACCCAATAAAAGGAAGGATATTATCAAGCTGGAGAGGGTTCAGAAGAGATTTACCAGGATGTTGTTGCATATGGAAGGTTTGAGTTATAAAGAAAAGCTGGATAGGCTGGGACTTCTTTCACTGAAGTGTAGGAGGTTGAAAGGTGACCTGCTAGAAGTTATAAAATAATGAGAGGTATAGATAACGTTGATAGTAGTTGTCTTTTCCCCAGGATGGGGGATTTCAAGACTAGAGGGCACGTTTTTAAGGTGAGAGGAGAGAGATTTAAAAAAGACACAAGGGGAAAAGTTTTGACAAAGTGGGTGGTGCGCATGTGGAATGAACTTCCTGAGGATGTGATGAATACAAGTACAATTACATTGTACAAAAGACATTTGGATGGATATATGAATAGGAAAGGTTTGGAGGGATATAGGTCAGGAGCAGGCAGGTATGACTAGTTTAGTTTGGGATTATGGTTGGCATGGACTGGTTGGACTGAAGGGTCTGTTTCTGTGACTCTATGACGATGACCCTATAAATGATATCCAAGTAGCCACTTGGTAGTACAGGGTAGGAAGGGAAAGCTGTTAATAAATTATACAGTATTCTTGACTTCACAAATGGGAGCTAGAGTACAAAACCAAGGAGATTATGCTGAACTTGTCTAAGAAACCAGTTCAACTTCACCTGGAGTTTTGTGTGCAGTTCTGAGTGCCATACTACAAGGAAGGATGTGAATACATTGGAGAGAATGCAGAAGAGATTTGCAAGCATGGTTCCAGGAATGAAACACTGGCTGCTATGAAAAAAGGATGGAGAAGTTGAGACTACTTTCCTTGGAGAGGAGAAAACTGAGAAGTTTAGTTAGAAGTTTTCAAAATCATGAGAGATCTGGACAGATTGAATAATGAAAACGTGTTCCCACTTGAAAAAGGGTCAAGAACCAGAAGGGACAACTTTAATGTGTTTCACAAAAGAAGCAAATGTGAGGTATGAGAAAGTTTTTTCAAACAGTGAGGTTCTGGAATGCACTACCTGGAAGTGCAGTGGAGGCATGTTCAACTGAGGCATTGAAGAGGCCATTGGACGGCTATTTTAAGGAGAAACAGTGCGTAGAGATTAAGGGGAAAGAGCAGGAGGCTAAGTTACTGAGAGAGTGAGTACAGACACAATCGGTTACTGACTTCTCTCTGCGCGCTATCAACTCTGTGAAAGGCCTCTGACAGGTCACCTCTCAACCTCCCCTTTTCAAGAGAGGATGTTTCCAGAAAAGTACTTCCTCTCAGCTATGGGACGTTTCCGGTAAAAGTTTGTTGCACTCCTCCCTGCTGCCTCTAATCCTTTTTACAGCACTGAGATTGAAACGCTTAAGCTGTCCTGTGTCAAACAGAAAACAATTGTACTGGACTACTAAAACATCACCCTAGCATAAACTCAGGCTCAACCTGAATGTGGTGAAGCAGAAAGCCATCTGGTCTACTTGCAAAAGAGAAGCAAGCCGCATAGATAAGGTCACCAGGTTTTGGAAGATTTCTGTTGAAGTAAGATGAATTTGTTTCAGAAATATTTAGTTTGTATTTGTATCATACATGGGTCCACAGAGCAAGTGGGCAGCTGTCTCATTTACTTAGGATATGGGCAGCACTTTGACTGGGAGCTTGGATTGACCTCCCGAAGTTAGGCTGGGCAGGATTATGGGGGGGTGAGTGAGTGGGCAGGACTATGGGTGGGTGAGTGGAACGTGCTGGACTATGGGCGGGTGAGTGAGTGGGAAGGACTATGGGCGGGTGAGTGAGAGGGC